ACTTTATTATATTTTATAACAACCAATACCTAACCGCTCATTGTTACCCTTAACAATAATTGATTAATATTCTAGGTCATATGAAGGTGAATATAAAGATAATCTTATTGTCTAATCTTAATAGTACAGATAATCTTATTTTTCATTTGTTAGTAGTTTCAATGTTTTCGTCTTATTGTAATGTAACTTCTACTGTTTCACGTAGTTAACAAGTTTGTTTTTATTTGATGAAACTGTAATCAAGTTGTAAACTTGTGATTGATATGGGGGGGTTGTATAGATTGTTGAATTTTATGGGATCATGAACCAATCAAAGATGGTCGTGCAATTTCGTGAATTGATTGAAGTTAGACTTATCTACCATTGGGTCCTAGTTTAGTGGTCTAAAGGCTAAATGTTCACGATTGGCACTGAAGGTTTTGGGTTCGATTCATGAATGCGCACTACTAAGGAGTCCTATACTAGAACAAAACAGTACTCTAGTGCTTCTAGGTTATCAGTGGTTGTGTAACATAGATCGGTTCGTGATCTTAATCAACGTTTATGTTGACTAACATGAGTGAAGATGTGTGTTTTAGTGATTAATCAGGATGATTCCTGGCATGTTAGAATTGTGTTTGATAACGTCAATAACACCAGTCTATGTGGCTGATAGTCGTTAGCTTTAATTGTATAAGAGACTTCAAGTTGTCTTGGTGCTATCAGTACTATATCATAGTTGTTAACTTTTGTACTTTTCCATTAAAGAGAAATATTTAAGCCTTATGTGCAAACTGAACCTCGTAAATTCTATAATTATGAATTACTACTCTATTTATTAGTCTGTCTGTTGACAATCTCTTCTTATCAATCGGCCATTGTATCATTTAGTGAATGTTTCTCATGTATTTATATCTTAGCTCACTGTCATATTTGGACTATTTTAATTACGATGAATGTTTTGTGTGTCGCCTCTCTCCGGGTAATATTCTACCCTGATAAATTCATGTTGAACGAATTTGAAAGATTGATTATAATATTTTCAAAACAACTTGCTTAATCGACATACTATTTACTAGTTTTTCAATAGATGAGGTTGTGAACCCACTTTCGGCTAATTGTAAATCTTTTGTTCAATTTGTAATCCTATCAAAGACAATGAAGAATGTAGCATACTGTTACATATATTCAACGATTACGCTATTTTGAAATTGATAACATCTAGAATTCCATATTGAGTTAAACTAGTTTTTCTGTCCCCATAAGTTTCCTGCACTAACCATAATCCACCAACTGTACGATTTTACCTTTTCATACGGTCAGTGTGACACGAAATCTTAAATGTGTTTAAATTCTTCCTGAAGATGACCAAAAAGACGCTACTTCTCTTTATAGTATTCACCTAACTTGGCTGTAATGGTTTAGATACTGAAAACCAAAAGGTTTATATTTCGTGAGGTAACCACAATCAGTGTTTTAAGACGTTTAGTGATACAGCTCAGGATTGCTCATAGTGATGCGCTCACTCCTTGACTTCCTCTTAATGTTGGTTCCCGATGCTCCTTCATACGTGCATTTCCTTTACGTCTTCTTGAACCATATTCTCACTGTTTAGTTTTTCTCACATTCATAACCTTTATATTTTAAATTTTTATTTGAACACAAATATTGGTACAAAGGGGCACCGAATACATATGCGCCACACAATGAACTTGATTTGTGTATGGGCTGTGATACTGCTCGGGTACCCAGACCGAACCAGGTGGTTTTATTGAGAGGCACACCCAGAGCCTTCGACCTAAAGGTCTAATCCACAAGACAGTGGTGCAACGTCAGGAGATGCAATCCCATGGTGGCTGGTGACTAAAAATCGGTTCATATGCCATTTTTTCTCTCAGGATACTGAAACTCGTGTGCATCATTGGGTTGGAATGAGGGTTTTCCAACTCCCCTAGGTGAACCCTCCGTATCCACCAACCGGGTTAAAGCGCCGAACAACACCCCCACCATGAAAAGGCAGTAAGCAGGACTTCTCTGTCAGTGGCTGTATATGCGTGGGCATCTGAGAGCATTTTGAGAGGCAGAGCTGACTCTCCCCACCCTCGGCCGTACCACTACAATTCTTTCAACTCCTTAGGTATTCATGTTAATTTCATCCTATGTTTAGTGTAGTGACGTAGACTGATGAATATTTATGCCAATCAGTCATTCGTATGCAACGTATAACCTGGTACATATTTGTGTCAATTCAAGTAACCACATCACATTTATAGAGCGAAATGATAATAATCAAGACAAATCACATAAAATTTATGTCAAACCTTGTGTTGGTTATTACAAATAGGACTATTAGTAACGTAACAGTTGTTGAAGAATCAGAAGTAATATAACGCCAAATAAAAACGAATTTCCTTTTCTCCACGATACTACTACGATAATACGACCTGGAAAAAAGATTAAACTACTACTAGAATCGATCGATAGGTTATAGGCAGGCTAAATATGGAAAACCAAAGTAGATTTATTCAGCGCAAACACAAGCAGTTCAACACACCCATTGAGTCTAGAGTACAAATCAATAATAGGAAAGAAATCACATATTTAATAATAAATTTGGTGTTTGTTTCCGACATTCAGTGGCCAATTACATTTTACTTTCATTGGCCACAAATCAAAAAGTTAACAAATTACTTACATAGTTATATTTATTATTCAATTATAATGGTGAGAACTCTGCCTGTAGCTCTTCTAGGGTTACTGCCAGTCCAAAGCCCGGGTAAAGGAAGAGGATTGGGTATAGGGTCGGCAACCCTATCTCATGGAAAACAACCTTCCTAAAAAAACACTAACCAGAATAAACAAATTAAACCACTTAAACTCTTCCCTCCGAGTTGAAGGTGGGATTATGACGCCTCATGATGGAAGCCGAGATTCTTCGGAAGTCACGAAGTTGATGGCCCTTCTAACTACCAGAGCAACAGTTAATATAGGTACATATAATGTTCGAACAATGTGAGAGACCGGGAGGACTGATCAAATAGCAACGGAAATGAGGATATACAACTTTGCAGTTCTTGGAATCAGTGAAACCCATTGGATCCAAGCTGGACAGCAAGGGTTAGGTACGGAAGAGATGCTGCTGTACTTCAGTCACGCAAAGGAAAATGCTCAACACACTCACGCAGTTGCTCTGATGCTGTCCAAAGAAGCACAAAATGCACTTATTGGATGTGAGTCTGATGTATCCAGGATTGTCGAAGCGTCCTTGAAAAGAAAAAAGGAGGGAATAACAATGAATGTTATCGAGTTTTATACACCTACCAATAATAGCAACGACGACGTTGAAAATCAATTTTACGAGAGGCTGCAATTGATCACAACGAAGTGCCCAGGACAGCACCTGACAATCTTGATGAGAGATCTAAACGCCAGTCAGAATGAACACTAACAGTTATGAAGATATCATGAGATGTAAAAGACGTAAGGAAAGGATAATGTTGAGAGTTTACGTCACTATTCAAACTATTTAGTTATCTTCAGAGTTGAATTCACGAATCAATCTAATCAAGACCATCACTAAAAAAACATAGAAGCACTGGTAGGCCGTTTTGTCATCGTGAATTCAACTTTGAAAATACTACTATCCCTACTAATCCTTAAAATATTTATTTATCATTGATTCATTAAGAGAATGTAATAATTGAACTACTATTCACTGTATATTATTCTCCTTATCAAGTTAAGTTTTTTTCAGTTTGTGTCATATAAACAACCAAACTTTGTTGGTAACAAATTAATTACTTCATTTTTATCAGAAAGGGTTTCGTGAATATTAACGTTTGGTCTGTCGTACTTTTGAGATTTGCCTAATAGTGAATAGATCATCTCACTCATGCTTCACGTTGACGACTTCAATTTTGTGCATGTTTGCTGTTTGTTTTAAATTGTATTCTCTTTCTAAATAATGAATTCCAACCGTTTAAACTACAAACCAATGTAGATGAAATAAGTAAATACATATTGACTGAAAATGTTTGAAACTGATTGATCACTGAGTAGTAGGTGAGTAATGCTGTTCTTCCCTAGTCGATATTGTGTGCGCTTCGGATTATTGCATCGATCAATTACGCAATATGTGACCACTAAACTTAAAAGTCTCATCATCACCTATATTCTATTTTGATGTAAAGTATATGAAGGGAATTGACAGGAAGTTGTGACTAGATCTCCTAGATTTTGTATAAGTTGGGACAAGATAAATTACAGTTGTTGGATCACTGAGATTGTGTTGGATTCGTCCTAGTTGACTTATATTGAATACTGTGTATGTCAGTGTGTGGATTATTATACTAGTTGTTAAGGTCAGGAAAGTTGTTTGATGAACTTCCCGCTGTGCTGTTGTAGTTCAGCAACCGATACACATATGTGTCAGGTTGTATGTTGCTTGCTTATCACTGAATGGATGAATTACGTATAAGGATTAGTTTGTAGTGTTTATCTATGTGAGTGTGTAAAGCTGAACAGTTATCCAGTGTTCCCTAGATGTTTGGCTAGTACATTTTTTTAAATAATTGAGATCGTGAGTCAATTGAAATTAGACCACCATGGAAAACCTGGAAGCACTTTATGGCCGTCTCGTCCTATTGTGGGACTCTTCAGCAGTGCACATCCAGGATCCCATCTCGCGATATTCGAACCCAGGACTTATAGGTCTCGCGCGCGAACACTTAACCTCTAGACCACTGAGCCGGCGTCCAACGGTGTTAATGCTGAGGAGTCCCGCAATAGCTAGTACATTTTTTTAAGTAGTTGAGGTCATGTGTTAATTGAAGTTATAGACTACCATGAAAAACCTGGAAGCACTGGACTGCTGTTCCGTCCTTGTACTCCACTATTTGTCACACCTTAATTTTGACATTGTTAAGTGTAGTTGTTTACTGATAGATTATATTCTTTAACAGACTATTAAGTTTGAATCTTTTTTAAAAATCATTTTCCTTAGAAATGTACGGATAATTTATATGTATATACGTATCATATCTAATTATATGGGTGTTATAATTAAACCAATTCTATTTCGAATTATAAAATCTTATCAAGTTTCCTTGACAACTTCTTGTCCATTTAATACATCAAGTCAAATATTGATTTTAAATTCTAACGATATCTATCGAAATTTAGCTTTTGAAGAATGTTTATATCATGAAGGTGAAAAACACTTGAAATATTTAAAGGATAAACCATCATGGTTTACAAAAATCTTATTATGGCGTAGTAATTCTTGTATTGTAATTGGTCGATTTCAAAATGCTTGGAAAGAAGTGAACATTCCATTGTTACATTCTAATGGTTGGAAATTAGCTAGACGTCATTCTGGTGGTGGTGCTGTTTATCATGATCTTGGTAATTTAAACATATCATTTATACAACCTAGATGTTATATGGATAGACAGAAATGTATGGAATTTTTACAGTCGGTTTTACAACCATTATTAATTCCTTCAAATTGCTCTATACATATTGGCAATAGATATGATTTGTGGATTTCAGAAAATCAAACTAATACAAATACATTGCAAGTAAGTAAGTGTTGCAGTTTTTATTTTATTTTGTGATTAAACAACAGTGATCTTTTCTACATCATGATAAGCGTCCCAAAAGGTGGGAAGAATATCACTTTTACAATCAATCGGTCAGTCAGTCAGTAACAACGTAGAACTTCGTACGTACGTACATCAGTTCGAGTTGCCATACCACATTAACACAGAGATCCAGTTGTCGATTCAAATCCCATAGTGGTAGAAGTAGTAAGAGTATAAGCAGTAATCGGAAAGATTAGGGTTTGGAGATGTTATTTATGGAGTATAGTACAGTGAAATAAATTTGGGAAGAGAAAAAAGAGAGACAAGGAGGAATAAGGAGATCAAAATTTGGGAGAACACAAAGAGTGTATGCACCTGCGCCATTGCAAACGATTTTGAGTCATGTCATCCAAGGTCTCTAACCATCGGTTGCTATCATCTCGCGGTTCCCAACCAGGTAGTCTACACCTACCAACATGACTCAGTCCAGTTGTCAGTGACTTCATGGACTTGTGTCATGTTTTGGTCTGGCCGCCCCTAGCTTTCTTCCAACCTACTCCTATACCACTGAACATAGCATGTCAAGGCAGTCGGTCGTTGGGCATACGTAACACGTGTCCCAGCCGTCAATCGGACTACATAATCGTTGATTATTTCAGAGATAGCTTGTTTACCAGACACTATGTAGTTAACTTTATTAAAGTTCTTTATTTGGCTACATTTGTAATCAATCAATTCGTTGGATTGTAAACCTATCTTGGTTGAAAGTGTTTAAAGACATTGATTCTTAACCTTTAACATCGGTTAAAATGTGAATGTTGAAATGAAGGGACTATGAAAACAAAATTAATGGAATAGATCATAACTTAACTTATTTCGAATAGAACGAGTAAATATTTCACAGATTTTATGTACTTGATGAATATTTCTGTTTCAACTAGTCAGTCAGTATAGTCTATTTATCCGTTTTCAAATAAGACCGATAAAGACTTTATTATCAGTATAGGTTTATCGAGATTGTTGAGTTTTATTCAGACCACTAATTGATCTAAGACAGCTGTTCCAAACCTGAGAGCAGTGAACGAACATTTCGTTCTGGTGTGGGATTCCTCAGCAGTGCCCATTCGCGAGGTAGTTACCTATCGAAGACAATAGAAGATGATCTCGCGATACCATGGATTGTCTAAAATTATGTTTGTACATCACTTGGTCTCTGATCAGTAGTTTAATGTTCAGGCATTCACACGCGTGATTGAAGGTCCTGGGTTTGATTCCTGTATTCAGGTTTGTGGATTCGCGCTACTGAGGAATCCCATACTAGGACGAAATAGTCGTCCAGATTTTTAATGGTCCATACGTGATCTTCGTAAGAGACTTTATTGTCATCAATTTGCTTATCTTCTCTTACATAAATATTTTTTATTAAGACAGATTATTGTTGTGTAAACTCAGGATTAAATTGAATCTTACAGTCAACTGACATATCGACGTAAATCCAGTCTATTAAAATATCGGCTAAAATTTAATTACTTCTATAGTCAAAGGTTAGCCTAACAAAATATTCAACGAGATTATAATAGAGCTTTGCGAATGTAGCCAATCGCTAACGCGGGTATAAGGATGGACTGATTTAGCGCTTGTAGAGTAATTTTTTGAGAAGCCCACTTTTACATGAACTAGGTGCTGCATTTTGTTCACAGAGTCAATAAAACATTTCAAATTAAATCGTTTATTTAAGAAAATGTAACTGTTGTAACGTGTGTGACTGCAGGTTAGATAAGCAGCGTTTATATCGATCGATTCGGTGACACGGTTAACACGTAGCGAACGACCTAGTACCCTGATTGGCCCTGCTTCGTTGTCTGTCCTAGCCAGTTGAGTCAAGAACACAAGTCACAGCCTCTGAGTTATGAATCATTGTATTTCAGACATACTCTGTTTATATATCAAACAAACAAACCACATCGTACCATAAAATAGAAAACAACATTTACACAATATTTAACAAGTGAAATAAACATCGACCAATAGGAAATGTACATTTAAGGTCCAAGGCCACCATAGACTTAACACGATAATTATTGGTATATTTTTCCTCAGCATCCATAACAGTAACACCATCAAATACATTCATCTTAATCGGCCCCCAAATTTCCTGGTACGGCCGAGGGTGGGGAGAGTCAGCTCTCCCTCTCAAAATACTTTCACATAGCCACACGTATACAGCCACTGCCACAGAAGTCCTACTTACTCTCTTTTCACGGCGGGAGTGCTGTTTACGAAATTGAGAGGACAAAAAGCGAATGTCAGGCGCTTTAACAGGGTTGGTGGACACGAAGAGTCCACCTAGGGAAGTTGGAAAACCCTCATTCCAAACCAATGGTACACATGAGCTCCCGGATCTTGAGGGAACAGATGGCATATGAACCTATTGTTGGTCACCGACTATCATGAAATTACATCTCCTAACGTTGCTCCACTGCCTTGTGGATTAGACTTCGGGTGTGGTCCCCTAAGAAAACCATCTGGTTCGGTTTTGGCATCCGGGCAGTTTCACAGCCCATACACAAACCAAGTTCATTGTGTGGTGCATATGTATTCGGTGCCCCTTTGTACCAATATTTATATGTTTAAATAAATAATAAACCTTCCTCACCTTAGCTAGAAATATTGTTTTTGTTGGACTTTTCAGGTATCTTCTACTAAAAGATTCATCTATTAACATAGAATATCCAGATGATAGTTCTGTATGGTAAAAAGATTAACCAAATACAAAGTCTTCTTTTCACCTTGAACAACAGTCCAATTATATTTGTAATACTTTTCTCTCTCTTTGAATACAAAACGTTGCTTCAGGATTCGTCTTTGTCATCACCTAGATCAATCAGAAATTTAAGTACTAAACTACGTTGACCACTTCACTTATCTTCATCAATCTTGTAATCGTCGGATAGATTGATGTCTGACTAAACCTCCATTAGCTTTCGCCAACTGTTGTCAATAATGGCCTAGGAGGCATGTCTGTCTACTAACTAAAAGATGAGTACCCTGCACAGAAGTTAACGTTATATTACTTTACGACTGAGAACATAACAACAAGAAAACTATCCTATATATAACATTCAACCCTGAATACAATTGATTATTGCGCAATTAACAATTAATTAAAAAATGGTTAGATAAAAGTCACTAAGCTATTAATTGAATCCTAGTCACATTACTAACGGTTAATGTATATTTATTGTTGAATAGGACTTTCATCGTTGTTACTTTTTTCTTTTAAATTATAGAATATGTCAAAAATATCCGGCTCTTCATCGAAATTCGGTGCTAATATGGCATATCATCATTGTACATTACTTTTTGATGCAAATTTAAACAATTTATCTGAAGTACTGAAACCAACTTTTGTAAGCTGTTCTCTTTTTCTATTGTCCATACATATGTATTTAGTTATTCTAACTCATTTGTCAAGTACTTGGTTGGAGGTAGTCAACAGGAAACCCTGGAGCTAGGTTTCATGCTACTTGGCACTCGTCAGCAAGGTGTACCTGTAATCTTGAGGGAAATGATGCTCCCCGACAGATTCGAATCCGTGTCACTCAGCTTTACAGTTAGAGACGTTACCACTGAGCTATCCGAGCCGTGACTAACCTCTTATAGGACTGAGATGTATTTACAATTGATTGAGATCACTGGGTGGTGATCAATGTGATGTATATCAGGTCCTTCTTAGTGCAGACATATTGTTTAGGTGAGATGCTTTTCTGGTGGACGGATGGAAGACTCCAAACTTTCTTAGTGTCGCATATCGATTTAATGGTAAAAGCACAGTACACTGACAGATCAATAAAATTCAACTACTGCATTAACGCGGTGATTGGGCTTCTATTTCGTGGTGATCTAATCGACCTGTATTGTCTAGAACACTCGTTCCTTTATGGTTTATTATTCCATGTAGGTCCATAAGGTCAGAGGACGTATTCACACAGTTCATTGTACAGGGTTGTGACCACAATAATATGTTTAAAATAATCAGCGTTTTCAGCGATCGCGCTTTCTCATAACTAAAGTAGAGTGTCAGAAAAGGTCTATCTACACCATATCTTATCCCACTAATTTCCGTCTCCGGTGATGAGGTCTTCAAAGTATGGAGCTGAGATATCAGGAACTACTCATAAAATGCATTATGAGTGGTGATCCCAGTAAGCTATCGTTTAGGCTCTAGAATCATTCTCCCAGGTTGTTTAACCAACATACGGCTTAATTTCATCATTATGTCCCTCAATATTAAGTATCGTTCCACTGTTCGAGGAACTGGAAATTGACAAATAGTCTCATACCTTTAACAGTACATGAAATCGTTTTTTTTTAGCAATCAAATCCATTCTTCACTTCTTAATATCTCTTCTGTTTATACCCTATCAACCTTTACCTTCTTCTACATATGCCATGTTTAGATTAAAAATATTTTGATAATTATAGTTTAATGAATACTTCTTTTTTTAACAACCTCAGATTAATAAACTCATAAGGCTTATTTTCTTGAGTCATTATTTAATAACCATTAATTAATCAATCAATTGGTCAGCATTTTAGGATCTGGTACTAATACACATCAACCTTAATATTAGCACATTATATCATCATACACATTAAAAAATGAGTGAAGTATTGATATACAATGAGATTTGAAACTTGACTTGGAAACTGAACAATCACACACACACCCACACACACACACTCAATTAATCTTTTTAACCAAATTAACGAGGTGATGGTATTATATTAGAAAGAAACTATTATTAATACCATTCTACAGAATACAACAAATCAATTAACTTTAGAATTATCTTGACAATACTGGTTCTAAGATTATTTATTTGATAAGTTTATAAAAGTAAGTTGATATTTTAATTGAAAGCATGATTTGATCAATGTTAGACCATCATTAAAAATCTGGAATCAATAAGAATAGTGCTCATCCACAACCCTGCACTCTGGACTCGAACCCAGGATCTTCGGTTTCGTACACAAACACTTAACTTCTAGACTTGTAGTGTGGTGTCGAGTCCCAGTTGACTATGAACGCCACTACAAAGAAACACGTGCGAAATAAATCAGAAGGCGAATGCGGGTTAGAACCAAGTTTATTTCGTTGGCGATCTCGTGGTGTCGAACGAATACTGAGGTCGTGCCAAGAAAAGGTGCAAGCGGAGTGGGCAGGAGAAAGTACGTGCGAAGGAGGTCACGAACCGCGAAATAGTCATGGAGAGTAATGGAAGCACAAAATGTCTGTCATTAGCAAAATTAAACAAAAGCACATTAAAACAAGCACAGGTACAATTGGTTATAATAATAATAATAATTGTTTTCATTAAACCAATCGCGTTCTCGTGATAAAAAGAAGTCACTACAGACTATTGAGCCTATATGCAATGGTGTTATTGTGTAACTTCAATCAATCCACGATGTTGATTGATCATCTCCCATTATCTTTGATGGGTAACTACCTCACATCTGACATGGTTGAACTTCACTGGTCATGAATTCTCACTAGACCTACGATAATTACCTCTTGAAGCTAGTCACCAGTGAGCACATGATAATTGTCAATATATGTTTATGGAGACTATTAAGTCTTAATTAAGATCATAAAGCGAACTGATATCTGTTTAGTTAGGTTATTTATAATAACTTACATATGCTTAAGTAAAATGAATTTTACAGTTGATTAAATATTTTTTTTAATATCATAGTAATAAAATTACGCAATAAATTACTAGGTGGATTCGTGTTTATGGAAACTAACAACTTAATTATTTCCTTCATTAGGTGAGACTGTAATTTATGGACGACCTTTAGGCGACGCTGAAGTGACCTTGAGGGTTTACACCTAGTAACTAGGACCAAATTAGGGTTAGGAAATATCATAGGAGATTAGAGTTATGATTTACAGTTGATATTTAAGGTTAGTGAATTAGATTTCGAGTTTTCATCACGAACTGACATAAACTATAATGCCAAAACTCAATTTATCCAAATTGGTAAATGAATCTCGCGCCAAAATCCAAGACCTGATATCTTATACCTGATTGGTTTGTCCATAAATTATAATCTTGCCTTATTTTACTACTAAAAAGAAAACGGATAAACAAATACTATAACGAAATACCTGTCCAATAATACTTTCTTATTTCCAATGTTCTCATCTCAACTATGATCACTGTCCATAACAAAATAACATCTACAAATTAAAAATAGTATTCATAAAACTTCTACATCAAATTATAGTTGGTTTATTTGATTAAGGTTATAGAGATTAGTTCACTTTTTAATTATAGTTCTCATCAGCTTGAAGGGATTGTCTTTTGATAGATAACTACTTTGTCATAAATTTAATGTATTCAGCATTACATAACTGTTGGGATATTCATAAAAATATCCCAAAAATGATTCTGTTAAGTCTAATGCTATCCTTGGACGTGAAACGGTGTCATTTTCCTATTGGTCAATATTTATGGTAGTCCTAACTGTATAAATATGCATTTGTCTGCAAAGTATAATTCCTATTCTTATTCTTCTCCTGACCCCATAAACAATTTCATCTACGGTTCGTGTTCTGATATATTAGAGATTGCGGAACAGTATTGGAGTCGTACTGGGATATCTGAGGTTGGTCTGTCGGTAGAAATTAGAGTAGCCACCCCACGGACCACAATAATATCCATGGCCATTACAGGGTTGTAAGCGAACTGATGTAGCGAGTAATAGTTTAATCAACTGGGATGTGAATGATACATGAAATCGATCTTTTTTCCCAACTGTGTATGACATGTATTCATCACATTTTAAGAAGAACTATACATACCTAATTGTAATTATGTCTTCACACAGTAACTTAATGAATTACCATCTAATAGTTGAATTCATTAGTCAGTTGAAGCTAAACCACCATGGAAAACCTGGAAGCACTGGACGGCCGTTTCGTCCCATTATGGGACTCCTCAGCAGTGCGCAACCACGATGCTGCCCAGGACTTATCACTCTCGCAACTCAGACCAATTTATTAAAATCTGACTGTTAATCATATAAAATGTGATTTATTATTTAATCATTTCGACTTAATTTGGAAGTCAAATAAATTTTTATCAACCAGTTTTAGGTTTACGCAGTTCGCTCATTTTTTCTTTTGTTCAAGTTGTTGTGTAGATTTAGTTTGGGGTTATTAGAAAAGGTTTGGAAATCAAATCGAGAGTTCATTTAACAAAATGTATCATTAACATTTTCATTTGTGGCAATAATATACTATATAATTCACGTACTTACGTATGAGCTAAACCATAAACACGAGAGGTTATGATATTACTCAGTTGTCAAAACCAAATTAGATAGATAGGGGTTTGGACCTAGGATTTTGTGACTGAAGATCGAACGACTTAACAAACTAAGCCACTAAACCACAAAAACCTATCATTTGTCAGTGATACAAATAAAAATATAAAGCTATATAAAAGAACTCAAACCCAATACCTAATAAATAATATTTTATTTGAACACATAAATATTGGTACAAAGGGCCACCGAATACATATGCGCCACACAATGAACTTGATTTGTGTATGAGCTGTGATACTGCTCGGGTGCCCAGACCGAACCAGGTGGTTTTATAGAGGGCTGCACTCAGAGCCTTCGACCTATAGGTCTCATCCACAAGGTAAGTGGAGCAACTTCAGGAGATGCTATCCCATGGTAGCCGGTGACCGAAAATTGGTTCATATACCATTTTTTTCTCTCAGGATACTGAAACTCGTGTGCATCATTGGGTTGGAATGAGGGTTTTCTAAATCCCCTAGGTGGGTCCTCTGTATTCACAGACCTGGTTCAAGGGCCGGACATTCGGTTCTCGTCCTCTCAATTTCGTAAACAACGCCCGTGGTGCGAGAAGGCAGTGAGTAGGACTTGTGTCCGTGGTTGTATATGTGTGGCCATGTGAAAGCATTTGGAGAGGGAGAGCTGACTCTCTTCACTCTCAGCCGTCCCAGAGCATTGGGGGGGGGCAATTATCCACAACACGAATATGTATAATAATCCCAAGTTCCCAAAATTCCACATTTCACTTATCCACCCTTGTCTGATAACTAGATTTTCAATCATATATAGGGAACAAGATTCAGTTAGCGGAAACCAATCTGTTGTTTAATACAAAATTGCAGAACTCTTTAGTAAAATATAAGAATCATACACTGGATACTTCATTTTCAAATCTTCTATCAATCGACCTTCAGATTCTTTATGGTTCTTCTAATTCGCAATTCCTTTCTATTTTCTTCAATCCAATCTTCTCAGCCTTCTGCTGTCAGGTTTTTCACTTCCGATTAGTGTGACATGCTACTTATATCAACATACATCATTTCTTGAATATAGAAATTTTATTCATTCTTTTTTATGATCCTCCAGTTTTAAAATAATATCATAAACATAATCAAATTTATTTGTAAATGTATTTATGTTTTGTCACAATTGATTGATCACTGGATGGTGATCAATGTCATATGTGTCAAGTCCGTATTTAGTGCAGATCGATTGCTATCGACCATGTTGCAATGTGGCCACTAGTCTAGGTGACTCGACATTGCGGGCACTATATATTGAGATTAGATGGTGGTTGGAGGTAGTCGACAGGAAACCCTGGAGCTAGGTACCGTGCCACTTGGCACTCGTCAGCAAGGTGTATCTGTAATCTTGAGGGAAATGATGCTCCCCGACAGATTCAATTCCGTGTCACTCAGCCTCACAGTTAGAGACGCTACCACTGAGCTGTCCGAGCCGTAACTGACCTCCTATAGGACTGAGATGTATTTACATTTGATTGATCACTGGGTGGTAATCAATGTCATGTGTGTCAAGTCCTTATTTATGTTTTGTTATGTTATGTTTTGTTCCTAGATAAATTTAAAAACCAAAGCAACCGATAGCATTCGAAGTCCAGTGAAAAATTTAAATTTAAACATTGAACTACTTTTAAATACAATCATTGAAGATGGTTTAAAATGGATATCCAAAGTAATAATAATCTTTATTGTATATTTTAAATTATAATTTTCAATTGTAAATGTATGTTTTCATTGTGCTTAAGTATTTTTTTGATCGAAATCATAAGTCAATTGAAGCTAGACCAGTATGTTAAACCTGGAAGCACTGGACGGCCGTTTCGTCCTAGTATGGGACTCCTCAGCAGTGCGCATCCATGACCTCGCACCCCGCGAGATTCAAATCCAGGACCTATCAGTCTCGCGCCAGGCGTTTAACCAACTAGACCACTTATATATTGAGTTAACTACCCCCCCAAATGCCCTAGTACTGTCGAGAGTGGGAAGAGTCAGCTCTACCCCTCCAAATGCTCTCAAATGGCTACGCGTATACAGTCACTGTCACAGAAGTCCTACTCACTGCCCTCTCGCTAAGTAGGTGTTGTTTACGAAATTGAGAGGATGAAATGCGGATTTCCGGCGCTTCAATAGGGTTGGTGGATATAGAGGATCCACCCAGGGACGTTGGAAAACCCTCATTCCAAACCAATGATGAACACGGGATCCAAGATCCTGAGTGAGTGAATGGCATATGAATTAATTATTGGTCACCGGCTACCATGAGACTGCATCTCGTGACATTGCTCCACTGCCTTGTGGATCAGATCTTTAGGTTGAAGGCTCTGGATGTGGCCCGCTAAGAAAACCACCTATTTCAGTTTTGGCACCCGAATAGTATCACAGCCCATACACGAATCAAGTTCATTGTGTGGTGCATATGTATTTGGTGCCTCCTTGTACCAATGCTTATGTGTTTAAATAAAATAATAAAATAAATATTGAGTTAACTGTTAATAAAACCTAATCTTCTTCGATGATAAATAGATTTAGTCTACTTGTTATGTCTTTGTCTAGTAGTTTTTACTATCGCTTATTTCAGTAGTGTTTCTAGTACTACTACTCTGGTACTTATCTTAACAATTTCATCTTGTTGTATTGATATATTGATATATTGTAGCAATTTGAGTCCATTCATGTTTGTGTATGGTTCTACAGTGTTCATAACTAGCTGATTGATTGACTTATTAAACGGTAGAATTGAATAACATTCTTTAGAAAGACACTAAAACCTACACAATTGAATCATACATCTAAAAAAATACTTTTTCACCAATACCAGATCACTGTGGTCAATTCCAAGTAAATACATCCATATATCAGAAGGGGTTTTGTGGAGATTGTAGTAATTTAAACAGTTGAGATCATGAGTCAATTGAAGCTAGACCACCATGGAAAACCTCGAAGCACTGGACGGCCGTTCCGTCCCGTTGCGGGACTCCTCAGCAATGAGCATCCACGAACCCGCCTCGCGGGGTTCGAGCCCAGGACCTATCAGACTCGCGCCAGGCGCTTAACCAACTGATCTGGCCGGCATCCAACGGTGTTAATGTCTGACTTCAACTTATCCACGAAATTGAGCGACACATCCACCATTGTCATCAGCGATTTACTTCCTCACAACTGACCCGGTTGAACTCCATTAGTCCATATATGCCAAGTTTTAGTTATTACCTCCATTTTGTGAACCTCATTATTCGTTTAACCCAATAAAGTAGATTATGAATCATAATTTTTTCTCTGAGTCTGTTAGATATAGTTATTGATTTTCATTGAAATTATGAACCGATCAAGTTTAGACCATTATTGAAAACCTGGAATTCCTGAAAGGCCGCTTTGTCCTTCTGTGGGACTCCTCAGTGGTACTTATTCACGACCCTGTAACTTAGAATCAAGTCCAAAAACTTCGGTATCTCGCTCGAAACACTTAACATCTAGACCACTAAGCCGACATCCAACGGTGTTGGATTAATTGAAGTCAGACTTGTATACCATTAGATCTTTACTCAATCATCTAGAGGTTAAGCGTTAGCAAAGGTTGTGAGCTTGATTACAGGTCTTAGAATCACAGATACAGACTGTTGAGGAGTCTTATATTAAGACGAATAGACTACACAGTGCTTTCACATTTCAATGGTTGTCTGACGTAGATCAGTTCATAGTCTTTTGATAAAATATTCATAACCAGAGTGGTATGTGGTGTCAACTCATCAGCTCATTAAATGTTATCTTGATCAGTATAAAGCTATTTAATTGAAATTATTATAATGTAAGTAAATAGGGATCTCTGGAAGATCTGGATAATAATGACATTCTCTGTGGGTATTACATTAAATATTGAAAACCTTACTACTTCTGCTACTATGCCTTATTTTATTTATTGCGTATTTTCTGACGTTTCTTTTTTGCATCTTGACTTGTGTATCATTTTAGAGTAAAAAAAAGAATATTAATTGACTCGCTACTACGTGCAATGTTTCACCTTTTCGTTTGTCTATCTATCTATACTCTGCCTGGAGTCCCTCCGGGGGCTACTGCCGGTCCCAAGCCCGGATAAAGGAGGAGGCTTGGACATGGGGTTAGTGACCCAATCCCGTAGAAAAATAACTCACTAAAAAAACGCTAACCAGAAAATCTATCTATAGTGCTCAATGAAATTGTCTTTAGTTAATCATAGTTACTAAGTGACAGTGCGATGCATCCATGTAAGAACCATACTGTATTCAGTGATACCACTGGTCAACTGAAAGAGAGTGAAGTGTCATAACGAATGTGATTACCATTTCACACAGAAATATACTAAATCCGGTATAGAATATAATGGATGAGATAGTCTTTTCTTGGTTTTGTCTTTTCTCAACTTAGTAATCTCATGAAAACTCAATATTCAATGTTCAATAATCAAATCGACTTAGGAATTCTTATGTAGAACGAAATATATATTTCTTTTCTGTTATTCGTTAAAATGCTACTAAACTCTATTTTGATTCAGTAGTATACAAACGTTTTGAACAAGAACATTGTTTTTTTTTTCTTTTTCTTATTTGAACACTTTTCCCCCAATAGAATGATTTGATTACATCTAACCCTGTTGTAACCAATATATTGGAAGGTCAAGAAGATCAATTTATCCATTCAATGAAAGATTTTCAACAAACATTAACATTGTCACAAACATGGTCATGGATTTATGGTAATTCACCAAGTTTTCAATTAGCATTAGAAAATTATGAACCTAATCTATCTTATCTTACTAATCAATTTGGTTCCATTATCATAGATTGTAGTCGTGGTGGAGTTTTTAAATCTATTGGATTTGATCATTCTCATAATTGTAATGTAGATCCTTTATTGAAAGATTTTTTATCAGAGATAACTATATGTCTTCATGGTGCAGAATGTCGAACTAATTCATGGGATTTTATATTGGATCAATTTGTATCTAAGAAACTAATTCAATTGAATGGTGAAAATATGTCTAATGAACAATTGTTAATAATTAAGGCGTTAAAAATGATTTCTAGTCTATTTTAATACGATTTTTATTGATTAAAATTATATTTCTAGTTTACTTTTATTATGGAACATATTATGTACAAGAGCACTTGTTTTTCATATGTTCGAAAGCGTAGTCGGGTACTTGTTATATCTCAAAGCCGTCGATGGATGGGCAGTGACTTATCGACCGGATCAAGGGATTCCGAATCTCGATAGGCTATTCTGGTCCGTTGTCCCCGACTCAGCTAACTCGATCAAGAAGTCTTGGTAAGGCGTAGAAAGTGTATTCTACAGGCAACCAACAGATACCAGGTCAGGTCAGGTCAATCAGGCACACAATTCAAACGTATTTATACATATATATATATATATATATATATATATATATATATATATATATATCCATGGAAGTTCTTAAACATTTAATCGATAAGTTCATCGATCGACTATGTGCGTGGGTGGTAAGAAATGCCCAAGCATGCATCTGCATACAAACTCCACAAAGATAAAATTACAAAATATGAGTTTTGGGGATCTATCGTCCCCAACAGTAATGCATCATATTGGTCTTCATGGAGTTAATGTATGATTCAGAATCGAGTTATATTAATTAATATGATCATGGAGAGTCTGTGAGATTGAGTTTTCTAGTCTATATCCACTAATCTTAATGATACAAATATTTGAAACTAGTAATAACTAGACAGTTGCTTTGTCCTAGTATAGGCTTACTCAACAACGGGCGTCCAAAACCCCATCGGTAATCAAAGCCAGGATCACACGATGAGCTCCCAACCTTTAGACAATGTTTCTAACTTCAATTTATTCGCCATATTATGCAATCTGTCAGACATGATTAAACTCTACCAGTCACGATGTCTCCCTAGAACTAAACTTTTCTCTTGAGAAATAATGCGGACTGCGTGGTCTGAATGTTACACATTCATTAGGTGCCATGAGGGTTGAATATTCTATATCATATGGAGTCTTAATATAGAATTCGGAATTATTACCAAAATTTGACACCAGTCCATGAAGTCATCGACTCTTAGAATGAGACATCTAGGTAGCTGTAAACTACCCGGTTGCCTACTGCACGATTATCGTTACCAGTGTTACACATGTTGGATGATGTGAATCGAAATCAGTTTAAACACATCCACTCTTTTTCTTCCCTTAGATCTTATACTTTTTTATTTCATAAATTCATATTTTCGAGAATCACCTCGTTTATGCCTGTTGTCTTTTACTCTTACCGATACTGTTGCTACTACTACTATGTCATTAATCTTGATAGTTTCATCTTATATGTTGATGCGATATGTCGGCTTGATTGGATGCACATATATGCCAAGTTCTATGATGATTATGGCTGACTGATGCAGACTTATTTAAACTCTTAGTTTTCATCTATTCAATCTTAAGCGATTGTATAACTATTTTTAAAGTTACGTAAATTTCCATTGTTAATTTGTATATATGAAGGGTTAGTTTTCCTTTATGACACAAATTCTTCATATAACTCCCTTTAAAATTATTTTCTTCTGTAAAGTCGTAAACTTCTGGGTAGTTCTTTTTTCTATATGGAAACAAAAACGCTATATTAACTGTCATCTAAATGAACTTCTGACATAAAATCAAAACCAGTTTATGAAAATATTAACCAGTATGATAGCCGGTATTTTTTATTATTAGTAGTTTGAGTGAAGGATGCCTTAAAATTCCTTATTGAGAATCTGTAGCTTTAAACATGTGAAAGTAATAATGATGAATACAGACTTCAGAAGAATTCAAACAATCGATTACTCTTTAGTCAATTCAGTTCGAAGGAATTCAAAGATAAGATCGTTTATTACTTTACAGTGCTGAATTATCGTCTTTACTTTTTTTTTACAGTATTCAACAGTTAAAAAACCCACTTCTTTGGGAATTCATTCAAGTTTCTTGTGAACTATGAGACAATTAACATTCGATATTTGAAAAGAAGACGATAATCATTGATTAGTCACTAGTTCTGATTGATCGATTATCCATTGATAAGTTAGGTTACTAATTCGTAGTCAATACATATATGCACTTATTCATATAATCAGCAGTCCTATGGGAGGTCGGTCGCATCCCGAGTAGCTCAGTGATAACGTTTTGGGTTACGGGTTCAAATCTGAATATCGCAAATACGCTCTACTGATCAGTGCCAGTCACTATGAAAGCTAAGCCTAAATTCTCTTAACAGAATTGAATCTTTCTTTTCAAACGCATACCGTTTGAACATACGATTCATTAATTAAGTACTTAATAGGTTTTTCGTTGTAATAAGAGATTATTCTGATGTATGACCCTACAAGTAAGTGAATGCATAACGTTCTATAACTTGTGACCATGGATTCATATTTTCAACTTCAAACAATACGTAATGTAGTTTGGTCTCCATCTAATATCAACAATTGATAGTAGCTGTCTCCTTTAACTTGATCAATTTAACAAATTGCACCTTCCCAAAATTATATTAAGGATCGGTGAAGCACATGACGGTTACCATAGATATCTTGACAACCAACTATTGACAACTGTATATCCTCAACACTAAAAACAACAAAAAAATAGGAAGAACTCAAAGCATTTTTATTCAATTACTATTCGTAGTTGTTTTTTTTAAAATAGTAGACAAATTAACAACACAGCAAAGAGAAAAAATACCACGAGTTGACAAGGTAACACACTTACACACACACACAAAAGAAAAAATTACTCAACAACTAAAGAGCAAATCAAATAAAGTAATCAGAAAATAACAAATAAATATGATCCAACTGGCAAAAGAACAATTCAAATGGGTCAGTGTACATATACATATGTATAGAAAAAAAAGGAGAAGGAAGAATCGATTTGGTTCATGGAACAAAACAGGGAGATCGATCGATTGACTGATCATAAGGTGGATACTTACATTTGAGAGGGAAAAAAAACAAAAACAAAGATTCACAAAGTTATTTTTTCACACCATTTGACCAATACAAATAATGATGATAGAATCAATAGGATTAAAGCACTCAACAATATACTACTAATTATGAATAGACTATTGATATTTGTCAATATACAATGGAAAGAACTATTGACGAATAGACACTACACAGAGAGAAGAGATACCTCATTTATTTGTATTCAGCATTAACGAAACTCGATGCAATAATTACTCAAAGTAAGGAAATAAATGCTATGAAATAGTTAAAATAGTTTGACAATAAAGAAGCTATTTGATAATAGATATCAAGGAAGAATAACAACAACAGCAAAAATGTGAAATATTAAAGATATGGAATATATATATATATCATCTATTACTGAACACTATCATCTAATATTCATGGCAACAATAGGATGATGATGATAATATATGGATCAATAATAATGAATGTGAAGATATTAGGAAACGTTAAATTGAAAAGGATATGTTCACTTCAAATATGACACTGGTTACGACTCCTTTTTATTATTATTATTGTTGTTGTTGTTCTGAAAATTTAACATGATGGAACTAGTGATAGTAAATTAAGATAATTTGTAAAGTATCAAAAGTAAGTACACATTAAAAAAACAAAGCAATATGTACACACTATTATTCTTATTACATATTCATGATGATATGTATATGTATATTAAAGGAAGGGGGAGAGATTTTGTGTGTGTGTGTGTGTAAGGAACAATGATTCAAAATACAAAAATGTTCTCACATTTTATTATCATTTGAGAAAAACAGAATAAAAGGCATGATTTTGTCACTTGAGATCAAGAATTTACTACACACACACACACACAACACAAACCAACCAATACAGGATGAGAGAGAGTTGAACTAGAAAATACAATGGACAATTTCAAATTCCAAAATTTTTCGACGGAGCATAGAGAGGTAATCATAAGTAAAATAGTCTGGTTGATAATAATAATAATAATGCTGATATGTAATTGTATGCTTATAAAAATAAGACAGAATATATGCGAAATGATTAGAACTTCAATATGATATCGCTGGTTGTGATAATCCACTACGAACTAGGCATAACGACAGAAACAATAACAACTACAACAACAACACTTATCGAAATGAACACAAATTTAATTATAAAAGTTTAAGGCACATTTTCCAGATCAGGATCAAGAAGAGGACACACACACACACAGAGAAAAACAACAACAGTGAAACGAAATTGTATCATATTCAACACAAAAAAAAATTGATGAATTCTTGAGATTTTAGCCACTGATATGTATGTTTTACAATGAAGACTGAATCTAACAGTATTATTGAAACAAAATTATAAATAGTCAACGTATCAAAATAATTACCAAGAGGAGGTGTGTGTGTGTGTGTGTGGGAGGGGGTATTTTTCAAGTAAGTAAATAGATAGATCATATCTTGACAATTCACAAAACCGGAAATAATAGTTGCACAAGAGAAATATTAAGTAAGTTCATGTTGGATAACACATCAATGTTGATGATGGATTGATGAATGTTTCGGAGTAATTAATTTATCCATTGGAAATGAGACAATTAATGATGCCTCTTGCATAGTGATTTGTTGTTTTCTGTACAGAAATAGAAAATGGAATAGAAAATTTCTTTAATATATATATATATATATATATATATATATATATATATATATATATACTATTCCTGGATAATAAAGTGCCTCAGTCAGTCGATACTAAATAAGGTAGAACCTAGTATGTATGTGCAATCTCAATTAACATTATTGACTGTTCGTTACAATCTTGACCACGTATTTCCGGTCCAGGCCAATATTCAGTAGTCTTCTAAACTGATGTTATATATTAATTTAGCCGCCCCTAACTTTATTCCAACATAATCTTACACCAGCAAACGTGTTTGCAAGTAGAATATACATCATGAGGGCCAAAACCACTGTAATAGGTGAAAATTCAATATTTGTCAACTAATTTCTCATCCTACGTTTAGGATTAACAATTTTTATCCGATAGTTCCAGGAGAAATTAGCAATTATTTGAAGACGTCAAACATTAAGAACCAACCCATTAGGATTTCAAGGTAATTGAAGTGGCATGTGCGACCAAACACTTCAATCTACGGTACCCCGCAAGACAGAACACAAGCATTAACACCGTTGGACGCCGGCTCAGTGGTCTAGAGGTTAAGTGTTCGCGCACGAGACCTATAAGTCCTGGGTTCAAATATCGCGAGGTGGGATCGTGGATGTGCCATCCAGTGATTCCAGGCTTTCCATGGCGGTCCGACTTCAATTGACACATAACCTCAATTATTTAAAAAAATGTACTAGCCAAACATCTAGGGAACACTGGATAACCGTTCAGCTTAACACACTCACATAGATAAACACGACAAACTTATCCTTATACGTAATTCATCCATTCAGTGATAAGCAAGCAACATACAACCTGATACATATGTGTATCGGTTGCTGAACTACAACAGCACAGCGGGAAGTTCATCAAACAACTTTCCTGACCTTAACAACTAGTATAATAATCGACACACTAACATACACAGTATTCAATATAAATCAACTAAGACGAATCCAACACAATCTCAGTGATCCAACAACTGTAATTTATCTTGTCCCAACTTATACAAAATCTAGGAGATCTAGTCATAACTTCCTGTCAATTCCCTTCATATACTTTACATCAAAATAGAATATAGGTGATGATGAGACTTTTAAGTTTAGTGGTCACATATCGCGTAATCGATCGATGCAATAATCCGAAGCGCACACAATAACGACTAAGGAAGAACAGCATTATTCACCTACTACTCAGAGATCAATCAGTTTCAAAGATTTTCAGTCAATATGTACTGAATTATTTCATCTACATTGGTTTATAGTTTAAACGGTTGGAATTCATTATTTAGAAAGAGACTACAATTTAAAACAAATAGCTAACATGCACAAAATTGAAGTCGTCAACGTGAAGCATGAGTGAGATAATCTATTCACTATTAGGCAAATTTCAAAAATACGACAGCAATCGTTAAGCATTTGTCGATAAACCTGGATACGATCTCAAATTTGGTCCTGGATGTGCACTGTTGCTGAAGAGTCCATATAATAAAACGGAACTGTTGTTCAGTGCTTCATAGCTTTCAATAGTTATTTTAGTAAAATCTATATAACTGACTCATTATAATTTATATTCGTATTACCTATTATTGATATGATATTCTGATTTTCGACCATCTTGTAAACGACGATGACGACGAGGAGTTGACATAGCTGAATGACTAGAAATTAATGGTGCTTGATAATAGTGAATAGATTCAGGTGAATTCGTTGTTGACATTATTGTTGCTACTGTGTTTGTTGTTGTTGTTGTTATATTATCATGATTATTATGTTGACTTTTATTCAATGGTAGACGAGCATGTGTTGAACGTGAACGATGAGGAGATGGAGTAGATTTTTTATAATCTTTATCTATCTGCTTAGAATTCATGTAAATAGCAGGTGTCTGAAATATTAGAAAATACAGGCAAGAAATTTCGATTTATGAATGTTACAGTTACGATATTAGATTTCTAGTTAAGTTTGTTTGTCAAAAATGTAAATTTTCTTTTTCTAAAAACATTATTGATATATGCCGACCAGGATGACCGTCAGGAGCTATCCTGTTATCCCACAAAAAAAAGCAGGTTACTTATGTTGTACATGGTCCTGTATGATCAGAGGCACTTCAGTGATGACAGTCATCTAGTATAGCTATACATTTGTATTTTTAAATATACTAGTCGATGATGATGATGATGATAATAATAGAGAATTATAGCATCATTAACAGAGGTAATACGAATCTACAAGTAAATGATGTCATCGAAAGAAAAATCTGTTCTTGACTGAAACTTCTTTATATTGTTTCGTTGCAAAGATTCATTTGAAATTCAAAAAGAACAATCTAAATAATGATAACTGGGATAATCAGTGATGCTAAAAGAATTAGAATGTTACACAATTCAATAGTGAGAGTACATCATATTAAGTCTCTGAATACAATTAATCAGGTGATTCTGGTTACGGATAGTATTTATTCATAGCTTTTTGGAAACAGTTTTCATCACAGGACCATTACTGAAGAGATGTTTCATCATAGTTTGGAACTACTCAACCCAATCGCAGTTGTTATCTTGACAATGTGGTCGAGTTTGTTTATTGTAATGACCCACATTGGCTGAAACACTTGTTTTTTTTAGGACCTACCATCTGAGCAAGTTGGTTGGATAACTTGGTAAGGATTAAAACCAACTAACTAATGGTCTGAAGGCGAGGCCGAGCTCTCAAACAGATATGGGTGTGACACCAGTGACATGTTTCCACAAGGGAAAAAGGGGGTTGGAAAAAGTTGAACCTAAAAACAACACTCCTCATCTTGCTCCACCCATTCTTATTGGAAGTCATTAGATTTTGAAATCACAGTGCTGATAAATTTAAAGGCGTATATGACTGTCCTCTAACAGTTGTCCTATGAGCATTGGAGTTACGATCCCAAGTCATTGAAATCACCTACCCCTACCAAGAAGAAGTGTCTTCCTACCATGTGAGTCACTGAAAAGTGATAATTGCTCTCGTGCATTTAAAGAAATTGATATCATTTCGTTTATAATTAACTGCAAAAAGAAAGTTAATATCCACGACTTCATCAAAGATATGATGATATCAATACGTGATTGAAGTAATTTTCATCATGATTTAAAAATCTTCCTCAATTCGAAGATAAACTTTTACAAATTTCATTTTCTAAAAAAAAAGTTTTTCTACAAACCTGGGATTTAGTGGAACTTTCGGAGAGAATACCATCTTGTTGGTTAGAATTTTTATGATGTTCATAATGATGATGATGACGGCGACGACGACTACGAGAATTGTCGTTAGTTACTAATGCATTATTGTCATCATGACCAAAATTCGATTTTTTAATACTTGTTGATAATACGGTTGGATCAACAGTGTTCAATGCTAAGCAATAAGTCGGAGACGAAGCTGTTGAAGTGATTTTTGGAGATGATTTTGATTGATGAGTAGTTGAATGGGATGAGATAACAGATGTGGTCATTGAGTATGATGATTTTTTGCGTCTATTCTGTCTTGTCTCATCAATCATTCGAGGATCATTATTAGATCGCTCTTCTGGCAGTGGACGATATTTAATCATTTTGGAATTATTCGATTTCATTGTTAATATAGGTGGTGTTGTATAACTGACACGAGGTGGTAGCGGAGGTGGACTAATATCAGGTGGAGGACAGTATGGATGATTTACAGAGATAGTCTTGTAATTATTATGATTATTATTAGTCATTATATTCGGTGATATTGTTTTGTACATAGAATCATTACAAATTACATTACAATCCATATAATGAGTAGTGTTAGATAATTTTGACTGACTAGATGAATGATTAAAGATTTGCTGAACAGATGGAATAGTAGAAGTAGTGGTAGTGGTAGAAGTATAATTATTATAACTGTTCTTTTCATGAATTTTATCTATTAACTTTGTTGATGTTAAGAGATTATTAGTAGATTGATATTCAGGAACTGAAAGGCGTCGTAATTGTTTTTTAGATAGAATAGTTGATGTCTCCGATATTGGTTTAGATTGATTAGAATTATGTAATAAATAGTCACCATTCAATTCGGATTCAGTTTTAGAATTACCAATTCTATCAAATTACAAAATGCAATATGAAAAAGAAAAAAACAAGAAAAATCAAACAATTTCTATTCATGGATGGTTGTTTGAATGAAAATTTTAACAAATATTAATGATAAGCTACAATTGAAGAACATATAGAACTCAAAACAACTGTCTGTCAATTAATATCAAAGTTATAATCTTCAATATGAACGTCAACACAATTCTACTTTACGGAGCTGAAACTCGGACAACTACTACAAGCATCATCAAGAAGGTACAAGTATTTATAAACAGTTATCTACACAAGATACTCAATTTCCGTTGACTTGATACCATCAACAACAGCCTACTACGGGAGAGGACAAACCAGATTCCAATTGAAGCGGAAATTAGAAAAAAACGATGAAGATGGATAGGACATACATTACGGAAACCATCGAACTACATCACGAGGCAAGCCCTAACTTTGAATCTTGAAGGGAAGCGGAAAAGAGGAAGGCCAAGGAACACATCACGTCGGGAAAGAGAAGCAGATATGTAAAGTACGAATAACAACTGGAGTTAGCTGGAAAGGATTGCCCAGAACAGGGTTGGATGTCGATTGCTAGTGAGCAGCCGATGCTCGTCCACGAGGAGTAGCAGGCATAGTAAGTAAGTACAATAAATTAATTCGGACCTAGATTTTTTCTGGATTAAGTCCTAATTAATAAGTGGTAACAAATAATTTTTTCTTTAAACACATAAACATTTGTACAAGGAGGCACTAAAATATACGTACATTACACAAATCTTCCACTTTGTCTTAGGGAGACATTCCCCAAGCTTTTGATCTACAGGTCTAATCAATAAGGCAGTGGAGCAACGTTAGGAGACGTAGTCCCTTGGTCGTCGGTGACCAACAATATGTTCATACGTCATCTGTACCCTCAGGATACTGGAGCCCATGTGCACCATTGGTTTGGAATCAGGGTTTTCCAACGTCCGTATCCACCAACTTGGCGCAAGCTCCGGATATTCGATTTTCGACAACACCTGTGGTGCGAGAAGTCAGTGAGTAAAACTTCCTTGACAGTTGCTGTATTTTGAAAGGGAGAGCTGACTCTCCCCACTCTCGGCCGTACCAGGACACTTGACGGCCGAGATCGCCACCAGACTAGATACTCTATATATATATTATACATAAGACTGGGATCCATTTATACCAGATATCCGATTCATGGCCAAAAAGCAGTAAACCAGAGTAAGGGCTAGATAAAGCTTTATGCGACACAATTGGAAGCAGTCTACACGCAAGACATCCAGAGTAGAAATCAATAATAGCAAGCAAATCACATATCTATTAGGAAGTAAGTTGAGTATCTGTCTACCTAAGTTCACTCACTGGTCAATCACATCATACATTCACTGGCCACATATCAGATCATGACATGAGATCTTAGAAAATATGCGACTAGTAAAGTTTAAAGGTCGAAGAAGAGATAACTTTATGCCAACCTTAAAAATATTATATGAATTTTAAAAGAAGTTGATGGGAATTGGACGGAGATAAATAGAAGGTTGAAAGTAGAGTTTGTAATATGCAGCTGAAACAATCAATAAAGGCTGGTAATGTCACGAGAGTCTATTTATAGATCGTATTAGAACAAGGGCAACTGAATAAACCTCTTAAATAAATACATAATACTTCTGGTTTTTTCAGGTTGATCACGAGAAGGCAGAACCTTGTATCTTCAGTTAAACTATTCTGCACGTCGTGTATATCGGAGAAAGTATTCGCCAGATTGACGCATTGCTCACTGTTTACCCATAAAAGAAAGGATAGAGATCTATTTTTCCTGTCATAAGGGCATCTGATGAGAAGAGATCAACTAATTTATTTTCTTTACTTAGTACACTGCGCTTAAAACTTCAGAATTGTCCACTCGATGGTCTCATTATACACGAAAAATGTTTCGAAGGTTTCTACGATCCGATAAATGGCTTTCTACTGTGCATCGATTAGTTGATAAAAAACGATAAAATGACTAAACTAAGAGAATATTTGTTGGTCACTTACCTGAAGAGATTTTTTAAACTTATTCGTCCACTTTTACTGTGTTTTTGTTCAGTAGGGAGATTATTATTTGAAATGGAATGTGACGATGACTTTGAATCTTTGACTAAGACAGAATTATTTAAATGAATTTCTGGACGAGGTTTCGAATGAGCACGTTCAAGTTTATCAATTGTTTTGTAGACTGAAGGAGAAGAAGAGAATAAAATAGAACCTGTGGATTTTTCAGGTAAGGGATTGGAGTTTTTTGTTTTGCTGGAATTTTTATGCTGAGGATTATTAGACAACTTGTCACGAGTGCCGCTTTCACTACGCGGACGATGTGGTGGTATGGGGGGAGCAGAAGATGATGGGGAAGCATTCGTATCAAATGAATTATAGTATGCGGTAGTAGTATCAGCAGCAGTAGTAGTGGTAGTAGAAGTAGGGTAAAATGAACGATCTACGGCATGACGGAAACTAGTATTTTGCTTTCGATTTCTTAGAATTGGCGGTTGATCTAGCTGAGACTCGATGTCTATTTCCTCTGGATCTAAAAAAAATAGGGATAAGAGGACAAGAAGTGAAGATTATAAAGAAAAGGTGAAAATTCCACACATATAAGTAAAATATGCGCAAAAACAACCAAATTATTTTTTTGAGTTAGAATCATGATCTTGAATTTTTTTAGGTCAACAAATATAATGGTCTAACAGTGATTGGTTCAAGATTTAAATGAAATACCATTGTACTTAATCGTCAACTCTGTTTGTTTTATAATAATGAAGACTCAGTAGTTACTGCTACTAGATCAATGACACCAAATCAATTGTGCTTGGTTATACTCGGTCAGTAGGATATCCACCCTAGCTCTCAAACATACGAAAGGTGTGTTTCGAAGGCAAGGTGCACGAGTCATTTTATGTTTAATTTGCTCAAACATTTTATACTACTTATATTTGCTTACAGTAATTTAATAAAAAACCATGTAAAACATGCATATACATATCTTGTATGAAGGTTAAATGAAACATTTAAAAAAAAGTAGTAATTAGATAGCCACAGCAACCTCTTTACATAAACTAAGGAGGGGGGGAATGCAGTGTATAACAAAAAAATCACACAAATATATGCGTCTTAACGAGATGAAAAGAATGAAACACAACTCGAATTATGCGAAACTACGATGTTAGAGTGATAGACAAAAATAGTATTATAGTTAATTAGTTGACATGAAAAATATCTTTTTTTAAAGTTATTATAATTAACCAAACAGCACACCATAACTGAGTTACACAACCAAATACTAGAAACTATGCAGAAAAAACTCATTTATGTGCAACTACACATAAACATTAACCAACACAACGTTAGTAACTATGATGCATAATTGAAGAATTGTAGGACATGTGTTTTCTAGTTTATTGATGTATCTAATCAGGTCATTTTATCTCTAGAAAGTATGAGAAAGACTTTTTTTTAAAAATCTAGTACACTGTTGATCGAATATAGTCAAAAGAAAACAAATGCGATATAACTAGATATAATAGAATATAGAATTCTAAAGATGCAAAATTAGCAGCAGTGGCCTAGCCGTGAAAGTAATCGACTTTCAGTTAGCAAACTATAGGTTCGAACTCATTTCTAACTGAGTAGCACTACTATCTCTCTCTCTCTCTTACCGAGAGCCTGGTTCGAAATCTCTACTTAGAAAAATAAGTTAAATTATTCATATGAGAACGGAAGAATAGATTTACGACGATCTAATTGTATTATTAGTACTTAACAAGTCATCGAAATCAGTATTCCCAAACACACAAACGCATACAGAAAAACGTATTGCTCAGGACAACAATTGTTGATAACAAGGGTTGGTTATTTGGTTTCGATTGACTACGTTATTTATATCACACCCAAAGCTAGTTGCAATAAACTCATTCATCGAAAGCTACAAAACATTCATGTTTCATGATGAGTAAAATGTCAACAAGTTAGAAAACAAAGATTAAATGTCCCCAACTTCGTTTAATTGTATTCAGTGGAGTAACCATTACTGATACTCACTATTTAAACATTGAAATATAGAACTAGGTGTGTTTACATCAATTAAACCTGTAATTGGATCGAGACTAACTCCACATTTCACTAACTTAATGATATGTCATCAAATGCCCTGGTACGGCTGAGAGAGGAGAAAGTCAGTTCTCCTCCTCCGAACGCTCTCACATGGTCACGTGCATACAACCACTTCTAGGGAAGTCTTACTCACTACCTTCTCGCATCACGGATGTTGTTTACGAAATTAAGAGCACGAAAACCGGATGTCCGGAGCATTAACCGGGTTGGTGGATACAGAGAGTCCACATAGGGGAGTTGGAAAACGCTTATTCTAAACCAATGGTACAATGGTGCACTCCAGGATCCTAAAGGAACAATGGCGTATGAAACTATTGTTGGTTACCAACTACCATGGGGACTGCATCTTCTGACGTTGCTCCACCGCCCTTTGGATCGGAAGCTCTGGGTGTAGCCCCTTAAGAAAACAACCTATTTCAGTTCGGGCACCCGAGCAGTATCACAGCCCACACATAAATCAAGTTCATCGTATGGCGTATATCTATTTGATGCCTCCTTGCACCAATGTTTATCTGCTTAAATAAATAATTTAATGATATCATCATCACAAGAGATAATAATTTAAATAAACTTTAAGTACTGATATATCAGTGAACTGTAGTGTATACATACATGAACAGAGAACATATGACTAAATCAGAATTTTACCGTATTTATACATATAATGCAACATAACTCATTTAAACTATGCATTTGTATTTATATGCGTTAAATGAAGATAGAAAATATAAAATCACAGGATATATCGATTAATCAGTGGAGAAGGATGAATACTAATGAGATGGTCTACATGAATCACTATCAGTAAATATACAACATAGAAAATGAGAAATAAACGTTTAATCAAGCAAAGTAAATAAGTAGTATAGATAGCAGTGGTAATAGTAGTATAAGTGGAGTGATTTAACTAACGTGATTAATCCAGGAAATGTTTAATTATAATAGATTATATATATATAAACTCATTCATGCATGGAAATAAAATGGGAATGATAAGTATTGATTATCGTGTACAATCTATATGTTGTATGATAATGCAGAAAGTCAGTCGACTGACTGTCATAGTATCAGCTTTAATACGTTCCGACTCAACCGTTCAAGCTATAAACATTATTTACATTCTTTGTAGATGTGTATCTCATCATGGACTAATCAAAGTTAAGATGGTGTCATCGAAATCCGATATATATGGAACTCGTCATGTAATGACACCATCATATCAAAAAAGAACACACCAGTTTTAGATTGGATGACGGTAAGTTAACAAACAACGAATTACCGTCATATATACATCTCCAACTTTGTAATTTATACAAAAATAAACCATTTAAGCTTTTATCAGATAGTACATTTATTATCTACATCTGATGGTAATGGAAAGCTTCCATATCAAGAGAATATGGAACAAAGTGTGGTTCAAATTCTTTGAAATCTTCAAAAACTCGGAGAAATTCATTGTGCAACACTGAAATTTGATGTCTTAATTTGTGAATAAATCCTAGAGAGAGTGTGTTTGAGCATTTATTATTATTATTATTCTAAGCACACGTGGGCTTCTTTACAGATATACCGGAATACATCAGAAAATTGAAAATCACCGTTGTACACAAAAACAGACTAAAAATACCAATGAATCAACCAAGCGATAACTACCCGATTAGCAATAATTTCGGAATAATGTGACGAACATTAATAGTTAATGGTGCAAATAGGAGTTTACAATAAACGGAAGATGAAAACATAATAGTCCAGTTACCTAGTGATTATGAAACAAGAGTACAAATAATAATAGCTCAATAAATAGATTCAAGAGTAGTCATTTCTTCAGTCTTACTTTAATGACAAAATAATTAAAGTATGATTTCACTCTTGCAAAAAAGAATACAAAGAATCACTTCTACTTCTACTATAATCAATGTGTGTTCAGGGTAAGTCACGTGTAATAAAGAAACCAGTGAACATATGAAAAAGGAGCTAACGCGAAGGATAAATCTTTACAGTTTTTAATACAACAGAAGGATAAAATATAAATTCAATGTAAACTAGTGAAATTTAAGACAGGCATGTGTATGTGTGTAACCTTTCTTACAAAACTTGCTTTAAGAAGAAAACTTGTGTGCTGCATAATAGTTCAATATTTCAAGATCATTAGTGCAAGAGATCTGTCGAAATTGTTCATTGGATATTTTACATTACGGATTGGCTTTAGTCAAACAATCATTACAAACCAAGAGATACTGACAATTATTTCTTCCCAATAGGGACTTATTAAGAGTGATCACGTACTACCTCCCCACAAAAGACTGGAATCAGGATGTTTAGATTTCGCGACTGGGGTTTGTATTTTAAACCAATGATGAGACCCAGTGTCTATTAATCACCAAAGACCTCTTAATTCAACATTGCGTGTGTTGGTTGGAGAAGGTTAAACCGATTTCTGTTCTTCTGACTTCGTTGCAAAATGGCTACAGAAAAGAGACGTTAAAGATTGATGGTCTAAACTAAGCTTAATCCTTTTGCTTACGATATTCACAACCACATTTTCGAATCTTGTCTCATTTACTTCGATCAGAGTAGTCATGTAATTCTTACAGAACACAGAGAGTGACGTAGAAACTTGAGTACAAATTTTTTTATAATACAGATCCACAAAAGCAGATAAAGAATGACCATAATGATCAAATCTATACCTGAGTGAGTTTATTTGTAAAGACAATAGCTTGCTCTTTTTGAATAGATTAGATTGTAAATGATATTACATACCTTGGAACTGGGATGATGAAAGATGAACGATTACAGACTCCATTCACATGATAATCATATACAATTGTTCATTGGAAGTCTACAATCATCATAGCTCGTTTATTCCTGATTCGTAATTGATTTAAATCGTTATACAGATTTAAAATACTAATCAACAGAACACTCAATCTACACACATAAGCTAAATAAGTGACTACGTAATTTCCAATGTATGGTGAATAGTTATGATCTTATCTAATAGGCGATGAAAACCATGACAATAAGGAGGTTTGTAGGTTCAGAATTTCAAGTTTCAGAGAGCCATTAATATACACCTTTGACTATGACTAAAGTAGTGTGCATTAATTGATAAATTTCAGGAAAAGAATATAAATTCGAAGTAGATCAATAAATCTGTGTCAATAGCAAACGCGGTACAGTATTTTCTCAATATTTTAAGGAACCATAAATGTGATACATAAAAAAAGGCATATTTCATATAAAAGTGCTACTTAGCCAATAGAAAATGAGATAAAACTAGCCAATCAAAATTAGAAAACTAGAACTTTGACCTACAAAACTGATTGGCTAATATATTATGAAAAAATTGAGAATATATATGGTGCAAAACGATAAGGTTTAATGAACATACCTCCGAAAAAAAGTTTATTAACA